AACCATACTAGCCTAACTTCATACCAAACTCCACTAACCTAACCTATCGTCATACCAAATTTCATCAAAATCTGTCCAATAGTTTTCTCGTGATGCATTCTCAAACAGACAGACAAACATTTTTAAAACTATAGATTCGGCATCTGTATCGATAATAATGACTATTTCAATAAGATTTCCCAAAAAAATATTTCATGTACAGATTCGACTCAGTTACAATTTTCTGGCCCACTTTCGAACGACACCTGATGTAAAAGGGTACATATAACTTTATGATCATCTAAAATTCTTATTATTTAAAACAATATTTTAGAAAATGCAGCAGCGAACTAAATATTATTTTAACTAAATACAAACCCACCCTGTTCGCTCTAGTCTGGTGTAAATATTTTGTATTGATAGCTTAATGGCTATCAATGTCAAAATATTTAGGGAAGACACTAATTGGCAAACTTGTAGTTCTTTGAAGCCCAACATGATATGAATCTATTGTTTGCATTTAACGTAATATTGAAGGCACCATTATAATGAAATTTGAATTAGATTTCAAAAACAGACAAAAGAGTGTTCCTAAATTATTATACAGATATTTGTTTATTTCTCTCTCTATTAACAATATAAAATCAAGGCTCAAATATGCTTATTAAACTTGGTCCAAGTTTTCACTTGCATATTAGATACTAGATAGTTTATAAAATTTCTCCATTTCAAGTCTTATCAGTTGGCTTTTTAAAGCATGAAGAAGTGAAAAATGGGTATTATATAAATAAATAATTAAATAGGTATGTTGGTACATTAACGCACAGCACTATCTAGTTCCATGGTAAGCTACGAAGCTTGTGTTTTGGATACCAGATAGTTGATCTATACCTACATATAATAAAATTGTAACTTAGCAGAATCTGTACATAAAATATTTTTTGGAAAATCTTATTGAAATAGACAAGACATTATTATCGATACACAGGCCGAATCTATAGTATTTTGAATTTTTGTCTGTCTGTGACCGCATCACGGAAAAACCACTGGAAGGATTTTGTTGAAATTTGGTATGATGATAGCTAGTTATCCAGATACTTTTTACTGCGGGAAAATATCTCATCTATGAAAAATCTATACTAAATGTTAAAATGTACTAAAAATAATATTGTATTGTTTTATTTTATTAGAATATATTAGTTGTAAAGTATTTCATTAACTTCAGGGCATCTAGATCTCGAATTATAAACGTTAAGCATCTTTAAAATATTTCAACGCCCATTAAACTGTCGTAAAAGTTCCATTTTCCGCCGTATCAGGCAGATACCGTCAAGAAGCTTTTGTAGACTAAGTGAATGGTCTTTAGACTATCTTTCTAAACAAATAAATTGAAATGTCATTGTATAATTAATATTAATGTTATTTTTAATTATGATAAACTAGTTTTTGCTCTTTTAATCGCTTTCGTTCATGTGCATTATAGATCTATTGCTTAAGAATATGAAATATGTTGTTTTGGTTTGTTTTAGGATTGTTTACTTAAATATATGATCATTTCCAAGTTTCTTCAATGTACTAGAATTATTCGTCTAGTACTCGAATTCCGGATGTATTCTGATATATATAAAAATTAATTGCCGTTCGTTAGTCTCGCTAAAACTCAAAAATGGCTGGACCGATTTGAATCAATCTTTTTTTTTGTGTTGAGAGTGTGTCAGGGGTGGTTTAAGTATAAAAAAATATTGGGAACCCAAAAAAATAGCTAGAAAGCCGAAAAGTTCAGAGCTGTTTATTTTGTACCTAGGTATGCAATTTGCATATATAATATATAGTCTATCTATTCTATACTGACCCTTTAGACGCACCTAGGGATGGAACTGAGCGACGCGAGTGTGAGTTGCTAGTCATTATTGAAAAGAGAAAAACATAATATATATATATATATATATATATATAAATTTATAAAAAATTATGTATAAGAAAGCTAATTATTAAAAAAAAAATATTGATATCACTAAAGCTCGCCAGTCGTCGTCATTAGCTATTAATATTTTTTTATATATTATTAAAAATATATAAAATAAAAAAAAGAAATATGAAAATTATTGCTTGCTGGAAACAAATTCTATTCTAATCTTCCGGTTGGTGACGCACTACCGGTAGCAAAGGTTATGCGACTTCCGCCACCTAATGAGCCTATTTGACCGACTTCAAAAGGACAAGGTCCTCAATTCTAGTATATATTTATCGTGTTATTAAGCGATATGTTTGTTTTTATTCAGATTTCCTTTTTTTATGAATGAGTTACGTGTGGTATCTCACGGGTACTCCTACATAAATTTGACGATAACTTTCTCCTACAAGAGTAGAATAGTAGCAATTTGAAGTCAAATATAGGGTTTCATCAAATTTCAATGATAATTTAATAATAATGCATTATTAGCCTATAATGCCACTAACGGACACTAGTTTATTATGAAACTAGCAACTTACCCTAGCTTCGATGGCGAGGTCTATATATATATATATAATCTTACCTATTACTATGCAATGCGAAAAAGTATAATATATACGAAAGTTTGGATAGATAGATGTTTGTTACTCAATCACACTAGAACAGCTGAACGGATCTGGATGAAATTTAGCACAGAGATAGAGTCTGAAATAACACACAGGTCACTTTTTATTTCGGAAAAATGTAGGGTTCCCGTGGGATAGGTTTGTTTTTGTTTTGCTAGAAGTGAACCCGAGGGAAGCGAGGCTGAGCCGCTAGAATAATAATATTATGTATGCATGTTGCATAAAAATTGGTTTAGCCGGATAGTAATTCGAATTCCAAGGTAATATAGTGTCAGTCAAAAATACACATATACATAGATTAAGCACATAATCCTTCTTTTAATCTTTACCAGATTCGACTAAAAAGACCGTATATTTCTTTTGCTTAAAAACCCTTCATCAGATTTTTTGATTATATTATTATAATATATTACAAAAAAAAACGGTAAAGAAGGTACAAATATTATAACAAAAGACTGCATCAAATGAAGCCACATTTTCAATTTACATCTGTTCGGAATCACGGCTCGCGATCAAATTAAGTGCAATTTAAAGGAAGAGCTTTCAAGTGTAAAATAAAATGTTTTAAGAATCAAATTTATAAGTGGTAGCGTATTAAATATATGTAGATTTGGAAATGAAAACTATAGGAATCTGCGTTAAAAGCTACATAAACTCCAAAGACACCCTGATGATTTTGTCATGATTACTAATTTAACACGAAAAAATAAAACTATTTTGGATTTGCTGGTGTTTAATATTGAGTTGGTTACAAGTGATACTGCTACAAGCCATTGATCAAATAAATATCTTCGTAAAATTATATTCAAGAACACATAAGATTATTTTAATATATCAAATAGAAAAAGAATATAAAGCTTTTTTCTATTCTTGAAAAAAGAGATATTTTGAGTTGTGCTACTTTTTGTCTAGTGTGCGATATGTCTATGAAAGTATTATTTAAAATTAAAAAAAAATGATTTGCCTTGGACTTCTTCGATTATATACGATGTAGAGAACTCTTCTAAAAACCTAATATGTTTATAGATTTATAAAAAATACATAAGGTTTTTTCTTGCACCACTCCCTACACGATTAGTGCCACGTGCCGTTAAACCGCACTATATTTTAATTGCCGTCCCACACTGCGTGTGCGAATTTTACTATTTACGCTACATTCGAGCACTTAGCTGTGGAAATGCTGACCAATATATGTTACTCTCTAATAAAATTACACTATGGCTGTTTTGAATGTTACCATTGTACATATATGTATAGATCTATACTTATAAAAAATCAAAGTATCTATATACGATTTCGAAATACCCATACCTTTTATTTACATGTTTATGTAAATGTAATATATGTAATTTTCAAAAACCTTTACTGAGAAGATAAAGCCCTAATTCAATCAAAACTTAGTTACAAGTTATGTGACACGATTAATTTAATACTTAGTGTATATTCGGGAAGTGTCAAATCTATGTATAAATAGGTAAAGATATAGAACAGTTCAGTACCTTTTTCTCCTTTGCTTGTCAACCGATTTTCTTTTTTTTTGTGTTTAGGCTATTGACGAGTTTTAGTATTATCAATACAAAAAAAATTGGAAACAATTAGTTTTATATATATATATATATATATATATATATATATATATATATATATATATATATATATATATAAGTAAATTCCATTCATATATAGTTTTCCACAAATTTTCAATAATGATTATAGCCAAATTTCGACCAGTAGGGCACACTGGTTAAAATAAAGTACTAGAGTGAAGTGTGTACAGTTTACTAGTATAAAGTATTTCCTACTCATAGTATTACAATGTAATGCAGATAAAATTTCTCCTCTATTTGGGTGAAAGTATATGAACACAATCTCTATATAGTCCCCAGCGCACGTGTATCGGATACTTTGCATGTAACATTTAGAAATGGAGTTAAAATTTTGTTACACATTTTAATTTTTACACAACTTTGTTGAGTGAAATTCAGATATAATTTTTGAATGCTTGCTGCTGTCCCAGTTAAAGAGAATATATTTCGTATAACAGTCGCGGCCAGATTATAATAAAGTACCAAAAAACATATCGTGATTATTTATTCTTCTAGTTGCTGTACTTTTTTTGAACGCTAAAATAACTAAATCTAAATCTTTTATAGTTTTTGTCATTTCTTTCATATTATTGTGAGGCACTTACGTGCTTAGAGGCTCTCTATATATGTATACATACATTATGTGCTCTAAATGTACAGAAATATGTCTAAAAGAATTCACTCAAAGAAAAAATATAATTCAAAGCGTTTACGGAAAAATTTCATAAAAATTCTAATAAACAGAATTAATTGGAGGAGGCCATACTTCATCGACATTTTTATGATAAATTAATATCATAACATTAAAGATTTATAATCAAAAATATTTTTGTAAATGCTATATTGATAACTTACCCTGTGATGTAATGACATGTTGCTGCCGTTCTGAAATCTCACAATCGTTTGAAGTGACGCTGGCGTCGACATACTTTTCGTTATCGAAGAGTTTCCAGATTCTTTCTCTTGTTGCTCCTTTAGTAATAGCCCTCGAGCAATTTTTGCATTAAGGCTTTTGTTTACGTTTTGATGGGGAAGCAAGGGTGCTTCCATCGTCTTCGTCGTATACGATGGAGAGGATGTCTGACTGAATGAATCTGATGAAACATTGGAGTCTTGTCTTACACTGATATTAGATCCTGAACTTGGCGATCTCTTCATTTGATTATTTTGAGGTAAAGGTGCGGGAGTATATGGGGTATCTGGCATCTTTTGAGGCGGACGTCTTGGGACGGGTGGTTGAGGGTTTCTATTGCAATCTAATCTGGGAGGTGTTGGATTTTGTGGGGGTGGATTAGGTCGTTTATTTCCATTTGGATCCATTACAGGGTTTGGTGTAGTTGTTACTGGTCTAGGCGGTGTTGGTGGAGGAACTCTTCGAGGAGGTTGTGGTGAAGAACGTCGAGGAGGTGCTGGTGGTGGGACAGGCAATGGTACCACCACTGGAGCGGTCCGTTGCGGCACTGGCGGCGGCTGTGGCGGTTGTTGTATTTGTGGGGGTGGTAACTGTTTAAAAAAGGAGATCAATTAAAGATAAGTATATGATTTATTATTTTTCGGATTTCAGAGAAGAAATTCAGGTCAGTATTTTTTATTTATATATATAAAATTTTTAACTTTCAGTTATTTTTTTTAGCTTTCAATTATTTCTATCAAAATTTAATAAAATGATTGATGAGTAACGAAAATATAAAATTTAATAAACATATGAGCCTTATCGATTACCTCCTCGAGACTAAGTTGAGTAAACATTGTTGAGCCAACAATTGGGTTTATTCTTTAATAATTATATCGGTGAAGACTCTCATCGATCCATCAAACTTTCGCGGTAAATAAAGGCATTTTATGCTTATAACGAGCTACAAGCGTATACAAAGAAAGTTAAGGGTACTTTGCTTCTAATATCTCAACAGAATATAAATATGAGCATTGTTATAGAAAACTCTTGATTGTGTGAAAAGCTAGTAATTTCAAAGTATGCCTTTGTAAATTTTTGGCTTTAGATATAATTTCAAAGATATTTTATTGTATTTACATAATAGAGTTTGCTTACAATAATAATAGATAACAATCAAAAATTATGTCATTGTTTTTTGCTTTGAACCCTTTTTTGTTATTATAGATAACGTAACAAATAAATTTATAACTTATTTATGTTATACTAATATTATAAATGTGAAAACTGTCAGTCTGTCTGGTACCTTTTTACACTAAAATTTCGATGAAATTTGACAAGGATAAAAGCACTGAGGCACTAATTTACTTATAATCTTATCTCAATACCTTATTTACTGGCCTGGGCGGAGCAAATCTCGACGGAGGGCAATAAGGTAGCGCGTCTGATGGACAATATACGAAACCACTGGGCTTCGGCTGAGCGGATGCGCACGCGGCGGTAGAGTGCCGACGTGGGGTGCCCACACTTGGACGTAGAAGCTCCATTAATTTTTCTCCAGGCGTTACTGCTAGGCTGCCGGCACGCCCATAACTGTGAAATAAAATGATAAATGTAACTTGTATAAATATCTTTGTACTAACGTTTATAATTTATATTACTTCATAATCTTATAGCAAAGTAATATTTTTTTTGACGAAAATTGTAATATGGCAATGGTAATAGGTACTTTTAAAAATTATTTTTGACCATTGTCTATTTTATTATTCATCAAAGTTCATTTTGGTTACTTTTCACTGCAGTGGAAAACTCCGACACCAGTTTGGTCAGAAGTCAGAAAAGCTCTAAAAAGACTGGCATATTGAGACTAAAACTATTCTTTTCCAACAATAATCGAATATTTGTAAAAAAATATATAATAGTATTGATATTGGAAACCCGCTTATCATTTCTAAGGTTTCTCACCCAAAGTTAATTGGTGGACGACACACGAAACCTTATTAGCTTAGTTAATTCTTTACTTATAATTAAAATAGAACGAGCCCACTGCCCATGTGGATCTAAATTTAAAGAGAAATTTTAAAATTTTGCGGTATTCTTTAGGTTTCTAAATATTGATAGGTTAATGATGTGCCCTTCTTTTGCACAACTTTTAACTATACCTTCGTGTTCACATAAAAAGAGATCTGTGTCATTATCTGAACTATAAGCTATCTTTTAATAAATACAATATTTTGTACTGTTATTTACAATTATTTGTAAATTTACAAATTTCAATAAAAGATTCCAAAAAATATTGAATGTACAGATTCGGATCAGCTGGGGTCCTTTACTAAGTAGCCAACAGGTAATACCTGACGTCCGGATTTCAACTGTCTTACATTTGAACTAAGGCAGACGATAAGTCGCTAGATGTACCCCACAAAATGACATACTGCTTTGGGTGCAATATTGGTGGTCTCATGACGGCAATAGTGCGTATTGCAGATTGAGCACTTTCATTCATTCTAGCACTAAGCTCTTGCGCTCCACTCTGAATGGCAAATGAACACAAGCTAGAAGCTTGCCCTTGAATATCTGAGGACGCCACTTGATACCAACAACTCGCCACAGGCTGCGCGACGGGCTTATTACTGTACTATAATTAAATTACTATAATTAAACTATACCATACTTTTACTGATGGGATTCGGCCAAGAATGCAGTAAAGTACAATTTATCAAAAAACACAAATACGAAGCCGCAGGCAAAACTTATTGAGAAATACTTTTTGTAAATAATTGTAAGTTGAGCATTCTCTGTAAGACGACAGTTTATCAATTTAAGCTTTTACGTATTTACGAGACAGCCATCGTATGTGACAGGCTTTTAGCAAATGAAAAATTTAGTAAGACGTATGTAACACAGCATGATAATAAGTTTGGAACGTTACTCTGATGAAGTGCATGAAAAATATAAAACGTATATTATAATATGAACACGCCTTAAAACATAAATAAATAAAAAGTACTAGAAATTTTTCATCTGCCTGTTTTTATGGATTCTCCCACTAAATTACAAAACGGCTACTTTAAATATATTTATTTAAGAACCTTCTATACAAATCGATGCGCTTTGATCTTCAATCTTCTATTGGAAAATTTTACTTAGGTCTCTTTAATCGGATTTCACTAGTAATATACTCTTACTCTTAGTAAAGGCCCCCGCATACTGCAGATTTCCAATTGGCCGATTCTAAATACAAATCTGATTAAAGTATCAGCTGATAGAAAGTCTGGATTATATGGTGATTTTTATTTAAAATTTTGATGGCATATTATTATTTTTAACTAGCGCCTTACCCTGGCTTCGCTTGGGTTTGTCCCTAGCTTGATCCCCCATACAAACTTTCGTCCCAATTTTCACCCCCTTAGGGGATGATTTCTGGGATAAAAAGTATCTTATGTCCTTCCCAGGATCTCAAACTATCTTACTATGTATAACTATCCAGAAATTACTCCCTACAACGTTACAAACTCACAAGCTATACCTTTTTATAATATTATACGGATTCATATTTTTTTATACATTCTCATTATTCACGTTACAAGTGCTTTATAATCTAGTGTTATGTAAAGATTTAATAAAAAGTATATTTGATGGTTAATTCATTCAATATTCCCAAATGTTAATATATTCACCTTTTTGTGTAAGTTTTAGTAAAAATCAATACAGAAATTTCTCAATGTTTCGTCCAAAAAATATCCCAAACTTTTCCAAACAATACTAAAATGTAATATTACATTATAATTTTAAATAATATTTTGTTGAACAATGAATTAATATTGATCAAGAGGGTATGATACCCCTCATGAAAGCAAAGAGGTTTTGATGCTACTTAATTATTGCCTTATAAAGACTCAGTAACGATGCTTAAGGACGATCCAATCTGATTATCGTTATTGTAAAAATAAAGACTTTTTACTTGTTTACATAAATTATTATTAATTATTAAAAAAATCGTCCCTCACTATCCCTTTGTAAGAAACTTAATTCAAAATAATAAAGCGCGACCAAAAAAAAATTTAGTTTATTTCACTTCACTAGTACAAACATTATATATTTTTTTATCATCACTTATTTGTGGCAAAATGGGATTAAATGCTTCAGCCACTTTTAATATAAGACTGTCTGCCTCTATTTAAAAGAAACTTATTAAATATTAAAAATACAAAAGTCATCACTAAGCGTATGACATATAATATTTTTCCATATACATATCATATTTTGAAGTAAGGCCACCGATAAGGTTCAGAAAAACAAAAAAAAATAAACTATTCAGCTTTACATACTAGCATTAGTATAGATTGGTAAAACAAAAAAAAGCAGTTATGAGTACTGCCGACAGAAGTTAAAACATAAAACTATAAAAATAACATTTGTTATTTGTTGAATATTCAAATTAATTGTTTGATCTTAAATTAAAGTTTGTAAATTAAAACTATTTACATTTATCTGGTTTTGACATCTATCGGCACTCTGAGTGTTAGCCTTAACACGTCACGTGACTATGTCGATGACGACTTAAGTCCATTTACGCCCCATCCAAACCTGCCTATAAGAAGTGTTCGCTTAAAAAAAAATAAGTACAATATTTTTTTACAGGAATCCCCATCTAATTTAAAAATATTTAATTAGAATTAATCTATACTTTAACTACTAGCTTGAGCCTTGAGCCTGTAGTGAAATTCATAAGTGCTTATCGAGTCTAAAGTTTCATAGCGCATGCATCTTGCGGATCGCGGAGCAAATTAACTGATGTTTTGTGAGACGCATCAAACTCTAATAAGTTTTTATTATAATATTTTTTGCAGTAAACACTCATTATATTATTAACTAGCGACTTATCCTTGCTTGGCTCGGGTGTGTCCCTACGTACGTTTTAATTTTTGGAGTGAAACTCTAATTATTTCTCTACAATAAAAGTAGCCTAAGTTACTTCTTATAATATCAGCTATCTGCCTGTAAAAGTTCCGTCAAATCGGTCCAGTCATTTGGGAGATTAGCCGGAACAAACAGACAAAAATTTTAAAAATGTGTTTTTAAGTACCGTATATAATTTGACAAAATCCTAAAAAAATAGTTTGGTATTCAAAACGTCAAAATATCACAGTAATGCGATAATTGGTGATAGTTAATTAGTATATGCCGGGTATTAATGAGACTTGATTTGATTTTAACCAACTTCACAAAAAAAAGAAAGGTTCTCAATTCAAGTGAAAGTTTTTGGTATGTACATGTGTTACGTATACCCTCGCCTCTTTTGAACTGATTAATGATTAATTATTTTATGAATGAATGAACTTAACAACGACACACGATTAATTGCTGAGCAATGCTGAAAAAGTTATAAGGCCTTAAGTAATTTTTAAATTTATTAAATGGTACCATAGCCTGATGACTGATATAAAGGGGTTTGTGTACACATGACAAGGACATGATAAGGTCAACCCGTGCCCAGCAGTGGGATATCAAAACGGACTGACTACATACAATACATTTATTAAATCCCATAAATATTATAAATGCGAAAGTTTGGATGGGTGAATATTTGTTACTCAATCACGCCAGAACGGCTGAACAGATCTGGATGAAATTTGGCACAGAGATAGATTATAGTCTGGAATAGCACACAGGTTTAGTACACAGTTGGCACTTTTTATTCCGGAAAATGTTTGGTTCTCGTGGTACAGATTCGTTTTTGTTTGTCACGGAGCAAGGGATCGACTATCTATTCCATACTAATCGTTAAAACGTAATAGACGAACCTGAGCGAAGCGAGAATGAGCCGCTAGTCTGTATATAATTTAATAATTTACTGCTGAAACTTGTTACAAGTACTAGCATTATCTCGTTCCCAAGTGCGCTAGGAGATGAAAATCTACGTGAAATATGAGAACATCGTACAGTGTTGGCTTCGTGTAGAAAAACCTTATATTGAAAAAATTATGTCTTTAGTTTTGTTTATTATTATTAGAAATTATATTATTAAGCATTATATTAGACGCTATTTATTTACATAATATTGTATTCTACTCTTATATAAAAGTGTTGTATTATTAAACCAAACTTAAATTACGTAGTCGTTTCTTTTTTTATTTTTGTAATTTTTTTTTATGTACAGTTTTTATGTACAATTTAGTTTTATTTAACAATTTCCTATTCTAAATTAATTTTAAACATATAAGTTGAATATATTTTTGTAATCGTCTATTAAAAATCTGTATTTTGATGTCCCACTCGATTGATTCCGATGATTTCTTTTCTAAACACAAATTAGCGCCTTAGTTCCGGTATTTTAATTTTTAATATATTTATATATCCTATGGCGCTCGCGTTATCATGACGAATCTAACGACGTATAAATCATTAAGATCGGTTAAGCCCTTTATTATTGTGAGGGAACATAGGGTCAGACATACATACAAGTTAAACACACAATCCTCCTTTGGGCTTCGCCGCACCCGGGTAAAAAGAGGAAACCATAAGTTAGAGTAAGAAATATACCTTTCCTATAAATATAACTATATTTTGATATCATAGTAGCAAACGAAAATTATCTATTAAATATTAATTTATTATATTTAATCTATACATATAATTAAAATTCTAACTGAGTCGAATCCGTACATTAAATATTTTTTGGAAAATCTTATTTAAATAGTTATTATTATCGATACATATTTAAGAGACCGAATCTATAGTTTTTAGAATTTATGTCTGTCTGTCTGGGAACGTATCACGAGAAAACCACTTGACAGATTTTGATAAAATTTGGTATGATGATAGCTGTTTATGCGGGTCAACATATAGGATACTTTTTACTGTGCGAAAATATTTCATCTCTGAGATCTATACTAAACGTTAAACTTAACGTAACTAGGGACGAACCCGAGCGGAGCGAGTGTGAGTCGCTAGTTCTCTATGTTTGTATGTACAAAATTTGAGAGAAACTAGGAATAAAAGAAAGTATATACAAAGTAAACAATCAAAAATCATACAATATACATACAACACGATACGATCAGTTCTGACATAATGAAAACGCGAAGCTTCACAATCATACTAATGTCGATCCGATGGGTCGATGCGGACTCCATTAGTGTTTAGGGTTGACAATCGAAACTATGTAATTTTGACCGATTTAAAAAAAAGGAAGAGAACTATATAATAATAATTTTTTATTTGAGAAATGTAAATGGGTTATCTTACAGTGAAAATAATGGTTTAATTGTTTTTAATAACTGTAAAAATTATAATCTAGTAACATAGTTTTAAACTAACGTTGTTTTGTATCACATCGTTATGTCAAGTCATTAGATACAGTGTACCAGATTCTGCAAAATATTTATTAAAAAAACATACATAGAGACAAACATAGATCCTCCTCCTTTTTGGAAGTCGGTTGAAAATGTATTTTTCATAATCTGATAGATTATTTTCGTTTCAAAAATTTCAATAATATACAGTTTTATATCAAGTTTTTTAGATTCATGTAACATCGCCAATTTTCCTTGTCTCCTTACGTTTTCTCTTAATACGTAAGACTGAAAGTAAGAAAATTATATTTTGACAGCCCTAATCCGTCCATTAAACTCCGACGAACTTGGGTACTTTCGTTTTATTAAAGGACAAGGTGTTGTCAGACGCTTGTCCCGACTTATTTAAATGTTACTCATATTATGCAATATAAGTTATCTTTATGTACGAGTATATAATCTATACATGTAATAAAATTGTAACTAAGTCGAAATTGTACATTAAATATTTTTTGGAAAATCTTATTGAAATAGACATTATAATCGATACAGAGGCCGTATCTATAGTTTTTAGAATTTTTGTCTGTCTGTCTGTCTATCTATCTGTCTGTCTGTTAAAGCATCACAGAAAAACCACTGGAGGGATTTTAATGAAATTTGATATTGTAATAGCTGGTTGTCCGGCTCAATATACAGGATATACTTTTTACCGCGGAAAATATCTCATTTCTGAGAAAAAATACAAAAACTCCAATGTAGTAGTATACTAATATGTAAAACCTAAGAATTTGGTTTTTGGTCATCTGAACGCGGGCGGAGCCGCGGCCAATGCTAGTTATAATATAAAATACTAACGACTTATACTCGCTTCACTCGGGTGCATCCCTAGGTGCGTAATAACTTCGCAAGTTTTTCGCATATACATACTATATGTATAATAGTAGTCCGATAATATAGCCTAACTCTATTTTAAGGATTATCTAATATATAAAATTTCCATGTCACAATGTTAGTTACCGTACTCCCCCGAAACGGCTTTACCGATTTTTACCAAATTTTATATGCGTATTCAGTAGGTATGAGAATCGGCTACTATCTATTTTCCATACCCTAAGTGATAAGGGTGGCCCACGCTAGTAATAATAAAATTTTGCAGTTTTTGTTGCTAAATTGAAAAATAAATGTATTTAAAACTGATGCGCGCTGCGGCGTCTTCTGTACTCTGTACATTTTACCTATTTCATAACGTGTTATATTTTTCCCCTTCAACGCAAACAGGAGTGATATGTGTTTAGTATATGTTTGTATTTGTGACCTGTGTATCTGTCTATGGCATCATAGCTCGTAAACAGCATAACAAGTTCTATTGCAATTTGTGATCTGTCTAACCAACCTCGCCTAATGCTCTCATCATCAAAAGAAATGAAAACTGCTGTTTTTATTTCTCTTACATACAAACCTCCAGAAAATTTCAAGAACATTGAACGTATAATGTTTGAATCTTTAATTATATTTTTGCATACATAGATCAATAAAACAAAAAGCATATCATAATAATACGAGCGCATTTCATTCCCAATATGAAGTTGTCTCCATCAATCTACGTCATGAACAGCATTTTGTCGACACACCACACAAAAGATCGGTGACAGATCGTAAGGTCCTCTAATCGTACGATTTGATTCAGATTTCTTCTACCTATTATCTACACAGATACATAAAATTGATGTGTCGAATCTGTGTGTGTGTGTGTTTTCTAAATGCATATGGATGTATACACGGTACATATACCAAAACAAAATTTTTTACAATTTTTGTCTGTCTGTATGTCTGTTTGTTCCGGCTAATTTCTGCAATGGCTGGACCAATTTTGACAGGACTTTCACTGGCAGATAGCTGATGTAGCGAGGAGTAACAAAGGCTACTTTTATTTTAGAAAAAAAAATAGGGTCCACCAATGAAAAATTTAATAATATTCGTTTCAAATAGGGAAGTTGTATAAATACCTTATATACGCTAGTATGTTTTATATATTATATCCATGCTAATATTATACATATAAAAAATTGGGAGTATGGATGGATATTTGATACTCTTTTACGCCAGAATGGCTGAACGAATCTGGATAAAATTTGGAACAGAGATAGATTATGGTCTGGAAGAGCCATATAGTTTCCTTTTTATCTCGGAAAAATGTACGGATCCAGTCGGATACATTTTTTTTGTCTAGGGACGAACCCGAAGCGAAGCGAGGGTGAGTCCACAAAAAAGTAAAATCAAAATAATTCTTATTAAATTCATATTAAATAATCTTAATAAGATATTTAATGAATATTACTAAAAAGAAGTATATTAATTTAAAAAATTTAGACAAAATCAAAAGATAAGACTAGTATAATATAATAAAAGTGATAAAAGTTTGGTGAGCTTACCGTCCCCGGACGGAGTCATCGTCTTGCGCGGCGTCGGGCTGCAGGTGCATACCGCTCTGCGCCCATGTCACTGTCAGCCAGTCTGAAACAAGGGTAAATATATATACATACAATGTATCTTACATACGAAACGATCCTATCTATCTTTGATAATAAAAATAATAATAATTTATTTGGTAGAATTTGGTTATAAAATTATTAAATAAGCAATTTAAACATTTAAATATAAATTAATTAAAAGTGGATAATAAATAATATCAAAAAACATAAGTATATATTTATATATACAACAATACTGGTTGTTGAAATTTTGGTATGTTTGTCTGCTTATCTATTTTCTTTTTACGTAAAAAATACTGAACCGATTTTAACATGTGTAGTGGTAACTTATTAATTGAGGCGACAATTAGGATGCCTTTTACTACATGAAAATCTCTCTTTCCCACGAGAGTACATAATAACTGGTTGGATCGAGTTGTCTTTCTCTCTCTATCTATCCTATATTATGATGACCCGGATAACCAGCTATCATCATATGAAATTTCCTCAAAATCTGTCCAGTGGTTTTCTCGTGAATCGTGATGCGTTTTCAGACAGACAGGAATTTTAAAAACTATACATTCGGCCTCTGTATCGATAATACCAATTCAATAGAATTTCAAAATGTCTATTTCAATAAGATTTTCCTAAAAGTATTTAATGTACAGATTCGACTCAGTTAGAATTTTATTATGTGTATAGAAAACTATTAGTAGCAGAGACTAACCAACTCGTGCACCCTCTATTCCTTCTATTTTTACATTCCCATGAGACGACAACTCGATACGACCAGTGAGAGTTAAGGCGCAAGACCGACGCGATATGTGGTCTTCGAAGGGTCGAAATATCGCCAACTTCCCAAAGGTTAGCCAGAGCCAGACTCAAACCTAGGCCCTACGGATTTACAGTCATACATACTACCACCACCATTATATATGAATAATATGTTATGTAAATACATAAGGCATACGTAGTATTATAATATTTAAACTGCGTGTTAAATTCACTAAACAAATAGATTTTGTTCAAAACATATTCAGTTATCCTCATGCAAAAGTAATATTATGTATATATTCAGGCCTTTTTTACGTTCCACGTGGGCGCGGGCCTCCCTTCAGTACGAGGGGGATCAGGCCATAGTCCTCCACGCTGGCCAAGTGCGAGCGGACATGTCTTTTGAAAACTTGCTATGTTCTCTCAGACATGCAGGTTTCCTCACGATGTTTTCCTTCATCGTTAAGACAAGTAATAATCATGTTGGAAATGATTCGCACATGAAAATATCAAAGGTGCGCGACCCGGGTTTTGAAACCGTTTCATTCAGTTTCCCAAGCAAACGCACTACCACTGGGCTACCACTCCCTAAAAATAATATACAAAATAATATTAAGCGTTCAAAGTACTCAAAGTATGTAAAGATAATAAATTAATTTTACACGTGAAGCGGTACGTTGGTGAATTAAAAAAAGTTAAATCGTTAAAACTTTCATCAAGCGATATATTATTACCTCAATTCGCACGACCCTGATCGTTTTATCTTTATTTCTAAGCTTTTAGGTGGTTTCTCAAAAATCTAGTACTTGAATAAATAGCATTTACACTAATATAATATGATAAAACTGCGTGTTTGTTTATCGGTCTGTCTTTATGGAATTTATGGCTATTATTATATATATTAAAATGGCTTTTTGAAAACTTTTTGAAAAATAAAAGTTTTATAACAAAAAAATATTTTTTCGGTTTTCCGACTTCATACAAAAGCATTAAAAAGTAAAAAATAACTGATTGGTAGTTTTCATTTACTATACATACCTAATCAAATATTTTTGAAGTCGGTGTGCTTTGCTTCGTATGGGCTGGCACCGATTTCGAAAATATTTGATTAGGTATGTATAGTAAATGAAAACTACCAATCAGTTATTTTTTACTTTTTAGTGCTTTTGTATGAAGTCGGTTTTTATTTTTTTTGTTAAAAACTTTTTATTTTTCCCTTTTTAGTGTAGACAGTAATAGCAAAGTAAGAATTCTAACGTGTTAGGCTTGTCAAATCAAACAAAATAAGCCCAAACTCAAAGTATCTACTATTAGCCGTTGAAGAGTTCCACCTATCCACCTTCTGGCTTTGCCATCAGATCAGGTCAGTAATACCGAACCACTGTTCTATCAACGGAAATAGAAATACTTGCAAAATTTCAAGTCAATATGACAATTAAAAGTAGGTTAAATTCACCATTAGCTATTTTTCCACTTTTAAGGGTGGTATTTTTTTTTGAAATTTAAATGGGACCAATCTGAAAGTATACACTTTCAAATAAAACAAAAATTGTCCAAATCGGTTAATAAATGACGGAGTTCAGAGGTAACAAACGTAAAAAAAAATACAGCCGAATTGAGAACCTCCTCCTTTTTGAGGAAGTCGGTTGAAAAATTTATGTAAATCGTTTTACGTATATGTAGGAACTTCCGTGTTTAAACTTTTTCTAAAAGCTTACAAGTATAAGTTATTATCTATAATATCAAGTAAAGGCACATACAATACAATACATTTTGTATGGAGAAAAATTGTAATATCATGTAAGTAATGATTTATACAATAAGGCCAATAACACATGGATCTAAGTATAGCAAAAAAATGAGCTGGATCTTTCGTCTGTCTATTTGTTATAAAAAAAATTATTCAATTACATAAAACTATCGCCGAAGATGTCTAATAATAAACTTGTAATATGTATAACTTTGAAGATGCGAGTTAGAATATATAATAAATTCTTTGTCTTTACCTGCACATTTTCATAGCAATATAATTAATACTTTCTTATAATACTTATTTGAAATAAAAGCAATTATAATATATTGCTCCAGGTGAGGCTCGAACTCACAACCCCGGCATGTCTCACACGAACACTGTCTTATAAGTACCGTGCGCTAACCAATTGCGCCACTGGAGCTTGGTTTTCTCGTTCCAAAATAATCTTTTGAAATGCTCTCGCATGATAAAAGATAACAGGCAGACAATCCTATTCATACGAAGTTTATATTTTATATATATATATATATATGTATTTTTGTTTCGTATATATGTTTGTGAGTATGTTTGATAATTTTCCAAACATAATTTTAGAAAATTTACCTTTTAATAGTTTTCTTAAATGTATAATAAAAATGTGCTCCCGATCGATTTCGGCCATGGTGAATCTCATTGAGGCTATCCATCTGCGCAGGAGATATATTGCATAAATATGCGTGCAAACACAAGTACACTCTCTATTCCTGTCACTCTCATACTCCAGTACAATGGAACGCTTTACATACCCTCTGAGGCACGAAGGCTTACTAAACAGAAAGACTCAATAACTAAACTTGGCCCGACCCGGGACTTGAACCCAGAACCTCTGGATGTACAGCTATGCACGCTAGCTATGGTTATACATGAGCGGGACCGTATTATAAAGCTATTCTATGATATAACAATAGCATGAAAATAAATTATATATTATTTATCGTTCTCGCAGAGATCGTAAAAGCTGAGATGGATTACTCCGTCACCATGGCAACGTAGACAATACCCTTAGATAAATATGATTTTCTCCAAGATTTAAAGGCAAGCGAACATCAATTTGAGGCGTTTAATTTACTAAAATATTAAAATAATTTATATAAAGAACGATCGAGAACAAAGAATGGATATGTGATATGGTTCTGGGATGATGATGAATACGTCTTACATTTTATATATAAATACTAAATACGTTTTAACGCTTAGTATAGATTTCTCAGAGATAAGATTTTTTCCCGCAGTAAAAAGTATCATAAATGATGACCAGGATAACAATCATCGTTCTAAATTTCATCAAAATCTGTCTAGTAGTTTTATCGTAATGCGTTCATAGACAGACATATAAATTCGACCTCTGTGTCGATATTATTGACTATTAAAATAAAATTCCTCAAAAAAAAATTTTTATGTACGGATTCGACTCTGTTAGAATTTTATTATATGTATAGATTTACTAATATATTAAAATTATTTATATAAAGAAGAAACATAACATTATGTATACCTAACTCACGATTTCTTGTAGGATCGAGAACAAAGGGTATGTGATGTGGTTGTGGGATGATAATGAATACGTACATTTCATATATTATAATTTTTATTTCAAAAGATTTTCTTAACTTGTTGACGCATTAACGTGTCCATTTTTTTAACCGACTTCAAAACGATGAGTAGAGGTTTTTTTACGTTATTTTTGTCAATTGTAAATGAATTTAAACTCTAGCCATTAGCCTCCATCAATACAGCCGAGCGTGATACCAAGAAATACTGGTACTTCTCAGATAGCATAGAGGACCGTGAGACCCATGGTAAGCGATCCTACGACGGTTCAGGCAATATAACAAAAAAAATATTTATGATAAAAATATAATATATAATCAAAACACGTGTTTTGGTATTTTTCAAAATTCATCCCATAAGGTGGTAAAATATAGGATGAAAGTTTGGATGAAACCTACATCTTTCGTTTTTTTTTTGTAGTTTTCGAGCGTATAAAAACTCTCTAACTATACAAATAATTTATAAGTAAAAGAGTGTATTTAAAAATTCCTTTGAATAATAAATACTTAAGATGTGAAGATCGAATTTACTTTATTTCCTGAGCCTTAATATGGTACAAGTCTTAATACCGGTCGAAACATCGTTATATGGCTGGGAGGCTTATTGTGTGGACTTTTGTAAACGTTTTAATGGAACATTATTGGGCATTACATGAATAAATACGTATAATACAAAATCCAATAAGAAATATGAGAATAAGGAGCTACACGTGCCTAAGATTTTATTAGTGAATTCTAACTGATAATAAAATAAAATTGAAGGTTTAAGCAAAAATCTATTTATAAGTTATACAAGAATATAACAAAATGATTTTTTTAAAAGTGTATATTTACCGATTAAATTGCCTTGTAAAACATTTTATTTACAACACATAAAGTATAATATAAAAAAAATATCCTCCCGACAATTATTCTCTCTATTCTTGT